AGCTGAGCCGGAGTGCTTACGACTACTACTACCATCAGCACGACGACGGCGGCTGCTACTACTCCTGCAACTCCTGCTACTCCCATTCCTGCAGCTGCTACTACTACGACTATTGCTCGCGTTGGGGATCTTCCTGTGACATGGAGCCGGTCTAGATTGCACCAAAACAAGACCCGGCAACTTGCAATTCCCAAAGAGCGTGACGCACGACAGAATTATAGGCAGCAAAAGGCTACGAGACTTCCGGCTCCCGTGCAAATCACACGACAGGACTTTGCAAACTCTTGTTCCTGAGATAGCCAGACCAGACGAAGACCTGCAAATGTTAATTCTGTAAATCAGGAATCACGCAGTGCTATCTCAGATCTCCACTCCCATAATTTCTTGATGTCAACCAAGTTTTTGGATGCTGGATGTTCGAAACTTTTCTTGGCGCTTCATCCTACACCAAGGCACCCTGTGCTGTTGGACATTGGGTGCGGCCAGCTGCGGATTTTCGATGCAAGTGAAGGCATCGAGTTCCTCATCGTTTCTTCGGGTGGCTTCCTTTTTTGAGGGGCCTATGCACGCATTTTTTTGCGTTGATGCTGCCTCAGACATGGAGTGCCCTTGTCAGGTGCTGAACCGTACAAGAACCTGATGCACTCTGTTGATTTATATGCGCCTTGCATGCACTGGCAAGGTATATGACGGCCGACACTGCGCAAAACCGTGTCCCGGAATTCTGCCCGGGAAGAGTAAAGAGCGCCAAGGCTACCCGGCTGACCGCACAAAAGCCTCCCTCTCAAACGGCATTCCAGGATTGAGTTTTTGAACGGTGCATCATAGTACGGCCATGCCGAGACTCAGAACTACCATCCCTCCAGCAGCTCACTCATGCGCGTCGCCTGTAGAAAACCGGGCCAGGAATCCAGTGTCGAAGGGTGAAAAACATCGATTCGGGGCTGTCGGGTCAATTCGGGACTTGGGGATGTGGGCTTGGGCGTAAACTCGGCGGCTGATAGGCAGGGGCCAATGAAGAGTGGCGCTTTTAAGTCGAGGATCTCTTGGACAATGACTCCGCAGAGAACACGGTCACAGAGCCATGAGCCCTGGCTTGATTCAAGCCTTGGTTGTGTGGGTAGCGAGCTGACACGACGAAAGTATAATTGCAATTCACCAGATCTTGAAGCTATGTGATGCTAAACGGAAGCCGTTGAAGACCCAGGCATGCTTATCGAGTCGCTGGCTGTGCCAAAAAACTACTTCTGTGCGGAGGTGGCTTGCATGGCCTTGTTCCGAACCACTCTCGGGCTTTACATCGTGGGGTGTTGGCATGAGCGACTTGTAAGTGACCTTGTAGAGACCTGTTGTCTCGTTGGCTACGAATCTTTAGCCACAAGATTGCTCATTCATTCTGTCATGCTTCCAGCCTCCCCCAACTATTGAGCCCGATGCTATAACAGCGCCTTACAATAAGCCGTGCCTGCCTTGAGAGAGTGTCCGAGTCGAAATGACCTTGAGAGTTTGGAGCCGTTGAGCAAAGCCTTGAGTCTTCGTGCTTCTCTATTCCTGGCACAGCGTTGCCCCAAGCCAAGCTCGTGTCCTACACCGGAGGGATCCGTAGGGTGTGACAGTCATCTGCGAGAGCCCGCGGCGGCTGTAAGTCACAATGCCAGATGTGGAATGCGAGGCCGAATCCATCAAGTTCGTGCGAGAGGCCCTGGAGCTGCAGTTGGTGCCTTTGCAGACTTGGTGGCTGTTGCTGGTCTACTTCAAAATGTCAAGGGCGTCCTGAACAAGTAGGTTATCTCTTGGCTTGACGTGAACACGACGGTTGTCTCAGGACGCCGCAGGCTGGCAGACCCACAGTTCTTGGGATATGGGAATGCTTGGGTTTGCCGCGGAGTCGTTGAATGTAGTCTCGACATACAATATATTGCAGTATAGTGCAGTTTCAAGCAGTACGACGCAGTACCGCCTTTTGTAACACAATGGAGCACTTTCGCAGACTGGAGCACAACAGCAGAATACACGATCATACGCTATGTGACAACAAAGAACGCGCCAATGCCAGACGTTATACAAGACCGTACACCAGTAGTTCTGAGAAGACCAATGTTGGCGACGAATTCCGAGTTCAAGTGCTGTCTGGGCAGCAGTCGAGTGTACTGTTTGTTTTGTCTGCAACGTTGACTATTTCTTGTTAGCCTTACTACCATGATCAGTATCATCTTGTTCCCACTGCCGCTGCCACTACCACTGCCACTACCACTGCCACCCAGTACCACTACTACGACGACGACGGCTGCTGCTACCCTTGCCACTACTCACCTTGCTACCCAGTAGAGCGACGACGACGACGACGACGACGACGACTACTACTGCTACTACTACTACTACTACTACTACTACTAAGGTTCTTGGCTCTCAGTTGTGAGGTTTTCTTTGTGCGTGAAACGTTGGGGCCTCGCTTCTAGGAAGGTAAGCTCGCTAGGAGGCCGCAAGCACTCCAATCGAACACGGCACGTAGGCTGCAGGATGGTGGCATGCTTGCGCATTCTTGCAGCAGTGGCACTCTTAGTGCGGTGGTCCAAGCCCTTATCCTCGCTTCATACGCCACCTGGGTCGGGCGCTTGGCCGCGAAGCAGCTTGCACCAGACACTCTCAGACTGTGCTGACTGCTTGCTGTGGCCCTCTCATTTGTCCACAATCCGCAGGCATTACCCCGCTAGCATCGTAGATTGTGGCCTTAACCTCTCTTGGAAATGGCGCCGAAGACCAGAGGGGCCTCTCGCACGCCAAGGGGTGCAGTTGCGCTTGTTGCAAAGGGGCGTGGGACGGCAGCTGCAGCTGCCGAGCAGGCGAAGGCCAAGCCTGGAACGGGGACGACCTCACCGGAGTCTCCGTCGTCGTTGGCGGGGCTATCCATGTTTGATGAGTCAGAGGCGGAGCCGGCAGCGTCATGCGCCACGGAGCCAAGAAGGGGACCTCCTCCACCGACTCCGGTCAATCGCCCTGTCGCAGCTGATGGCGTTCCGGGGCCGAAAGCTGGAAGAACAGGAGGCCCAAGCACNNAGCATCCCGAGCACACCGGCGCAGGCCTTTGCGGCTTTCAGGAATGGATTGGAGGGCACTTCGCTGGCCTTTGGCACGCCACCCTCTCCCAGCAATCCTGGGCAGCGTGGCCGGCTCACCGTTACGGTCCCACATGACCTTGGCTTCGAGGTGGAGATTACTGTCCGCACACATCCCAAGGACAGAGTCTAAAGTTGCAGACCGTAGCCGGAGACGATGCTCGAGCGAGGGGGTTAAAATCTTTCCGTCTTGCCTTTCTCGGGTACCCTGTACACCAGTGTTGCAGGCGCATCGGTTATTGCTGACCGGCCCAGGTCGCATGTCGGGTCCACCCTTGGATGCCAGTGGTGTCCAACGCCTAGTGTGGCATCATCATTTCCCGGCCGATGATGCACTCTGTGCTTACCTTGCAGGAGGCTGGCCGGGTCGCGGCTGCCTCAGCTCTGTTGTGCTCAAACAGTCTGAGCTGGACTCTTCTAGCCCCCGCATTGCCTCAGGCACCATCGAGCCCGGCTGCAACAGGCTCTCCTGCGGCTGGTGCGTTTGCCCAGCTTCCGCTGCCAGCACTCAAGACTCCCTGCCGGGCCCCGTTGGCCCCTGTGTCATGCCAGGTACCCTGCCTTTCTTTGAGCCCAGCCACTGGTCTCGCACTCGGGTCTCTTGCAGCGAAGCCGGTGATCGGTTGTGCTCCTTCACATGCCCGCCCCGCCTTCAGCAGCCTCTGGGTCGTGCACAAGGGAAGATTCCAGACTGCAAGCTGTATGGTTGCTCCCACAGATCTCTGCATTGGCCGGTTGGGTGGTTTGATTTTACTAGGCAAAATGCCCGACCCCCCTGCGCATGCCTTCCCTACCCTAGCTGCATTGCTTCGTTGTGTCCCGGCGCTGTACATGGCCCTTCCGTCTGCGCCGACATGCGCCGTGGTCACAAGCGTTATCGGTATAAGCCAGGACAGCGTGAACGCCGGGCCAATCGAGTGGTAAGGGCACTACTGGAGGAGGCCGATCAGGCCGAGGGCGCTGGCAGCACCTTGCCGCCCATTACCCGCTTCCATCCACGGCTCGCCCAGGCTCAGGTTGCCTCCGCCACCGATGATGAGTATGAGGACGTACTCGTGGAGGACGAAGAGGTGGAGGTAGTGGTGGAGGAAGAAGAAGCACCAGCCTTGGAGTCGAGGACGGGCAGTTCTTCATCCCTGGCTCGCCTGGCACCGAAGCCCAAGTACAGGGCTGGCAATAAGCAGGCCACTCTTCCACAGCCACAGGTGGAGCAGTCGAGCTCGGGGGCTGGCGTGGTGTCTTCTTCCCTCCTTCGATCTGGCATGAAGAGCTGGTTGCCACGGAAGACTCGCCAAAGGGCTCAACGTCCGACTCTGGGCTGCAGCCAACCAAGGCGAGCACTGCGGGAGGCACACTGAGCAAGGAGCACATCCAGCGCATGTCCCAGGCGATGGCGCGACGCGCGGCTCGAAAGTCACCTTGGCCTCGGTGGCTCTACAAGGCGCCAGCTACCATTCCGGGCAAGCAGCAAGGAGCTCCTCTGCCACGTCGCTGGCGAGTGGGGCCCGTGGCACAGGGGCTCAAGCGACGATGGTCACCAGCATGGCGTCGCATCTATCAGGAGTGCAATCGCACCTGGCAGCTCTGGCGGATTGGGCAGCCCATGCCTGTTCAGGACTACTGGCGCTTGGCATGCGCCTATCGTCTGGTGTACCCCAGAAAGGAGTGGGCGAACATCCAGAAGAACCTGATGCGTCTCACAGGTCATGCCAGGTGTGTGCATATCTGTCGCCTGGTGGAGTCTCATAGGCGTCTTGACCAGCGCTTCGACGCTTCCCGCCAGGTTGCAAATTACTTGTATGCCACTGCTGCTTCGTATCGCAGACTCTGTGCCCCATCACACGGCGCAGCTCCTTTCCGATCTTGCGTTCCCTCCGCTCACCACTCAGGCAGCAAGTCACGGACTGGCGTCGGGGCGTCAGTTACCTCAAGGAGTACCGACACTTACCCTTGCGCGAGGCGTCTGCCCCCCACTGTGGTTACTCCTGTCTGTGCCCTGGCCGTGCACATCTCGTCAGGTGTGTCTCCTCCATTGGCAGGCTGTCCGAGACTCAGATCACTATCGCCGCTTAGTGGTTGTCCAGGGGTGTGTCGTTCTCAGGGCTGGCCACACGTCGTCCTTAAGCATGCCGCGCCGGCTCAGCGGTCGTCCTCGGACCTGGCCCACTCAAGGGACCCATCTTGCTTCGTGTGTCGGCAGCTCCCGGCTCGTCTACCGCGGCGCTATGGAAGCACCCGTGCTACTGTCCCGGCCTCACAAAGCTCCAGCCTTATCTTGGACTGCCTCGACTGGCTTGTAGGTTTGCGCCAAACACCAGGCTCTCTGGGATCTGCCGTTTGGATTCCCATCGCCTGTGCTCTCTGGCAGGAGTTTGGGTATGTGACACAGCATCTTCCCGGGCCCCACTGTCGGGTCTGCCTCAGGCTCTCTTTGTTGCCTCTGTTACATCGGCATCACTGTAGCGTGTGGCCAGTTCGTATGCCTCCCGAGCACTTCCGGCCGTTAAGGAGAAAGAGGCACGCAATCCTCATGCCTATCGCTTGGCCGCCCCTTGATGTTCAGGACCCTCCCACTGGGATGAACAAAATTGGACCATGGAAGGCCGCCTGCAAGTCTTACACACTCTCTGTTCGGAGTCTCTTTGCTTGCTTCCCCGGCGCCTGTTCCAGGATTTCTACGCCGGTCTGGCTGCTGAGGGGTCAGGGTCGTCCCCAACTTCCGGGGCTGGTTGCCAGGCCTCGATTCTGGATTCGCTGGACTAGGGAGCGCCCCTTACCGTTGAGAGCATTATACTGTGCAAGGCCATGCTTGGGAAAACGTGCCAGAATCAGGGCCTATGTTTGGAAACTTCCGACTGACCGTGCACGCCGCAGTCGGAGGGCGCAACTCCATAGACTCGCCTTTTCTAGGCGTTTCGCTAGCAGTCTTCGTACCTGGCTTTTACTGCATTCCTCCGACAGATGTTATCGTAGCTTGGCCGGATTCTTGGGGTCCTTGTTCCCGTTTTGTGGACTGCTCGGAGTGCGCCTTTTATCACAGTTTGAGAGCCATCTGGGTCCCAAGTCCCAGAGTCCTGCTATCCACTGGGCATCCAATAATCAGTCCATTGCTTCGCTTTTGGTTGGCCAGATTACCAGCAGGATAGAACCGAGGGTTGGGGACCTTTGCCGTCGGTTCCCGAGATCAGCCGGGTACATAGCTAGAGTTTCTGGTTCAGTGCTGGCTGAGAAGCCTAGGCGTGAGTTTGCCAAAAAGTTTTTCTTGTCTCCGGCAGACACCCGTGTCCCGGTGACCCCTTTTCTCATCATCACCAACTTGCTGTTGTCTTGCGGCTACAGGGACTGCCCCCCGAGGAGCACCAGTTCTTCCCCCTCCTGTGCACCAACTTTCAAGGCCAGCCAGGCTGCAGCCGTGTCAGGTTCAGGTTCTGGCTCCCCTGCCTGGGGTCTTCGCCTGTTGCTGCTTTTCACTAGGATTGCTTCAGTGTGTGCTGACCCTGGCCTGCACGCGTCCACATCGTCCTCGCTCCCGGCGACTGCTGTGAACAGCAAGCCGCCCTCTCAGATATCTAAGCGTTCCTACAAACGAGCGCTTGCGAGA